TAAGCCTCACAAATTTCGCCCCTTCACAGCCGCCTTTATGCTGCATCCTTGCGCCTCTTGGTGAGGCGCGCCTCACCAACGTTTTTTCATTCCATGAGTAAGCGAGGGCATTTTTTGGGTAGAGAGCAACTATTCTCTCAAAAAGGAATAAGTTCTTTCAATCATGGATAAACTATTTTCTGGCATTTAGGGCTTCGTAGTTTACTATTTCCAAAAGTTAACTACAAAGCTGTAAGTACTGCTTGTCTTAAATACAAACATTTTTGCCATAATTCTAGGACTATATAAAAATATCATTCTAGAGAAGAATCAAATACTGACTGATATCTCTATTATGATCAAGAGAGCTTGATAGAATCCAAGATTAGAGTTTACCGAGAGACAGGTGGCAAATGATCTTTCTGTCAGAAATGCAGTAGGATTTTGTGAACAGCATGCAAAACGTGCTAGAATTTTGTATTGAAAACCTAAAGACTTCTTAGGAGGCTGAATCTCGATGGTTGTATTTTATTTTCTTTTTGTGCTTGTTTGGGTTTCACTAAGTTGAAAGTATAAAGTGATGGAAATGAGTAGTGGATAAGTAAGTTGGGGGGTCCTATGAAATGTGTGATCCAAATCAAAATTTTACTGAGAAATTTAAATTATAAGGAGATTATAATGAGCCCTTGTTTGGTTTAAGATAAAAATCAGATTCTCAGTAGATTTTGATAAATGTTGATGAATGTAAGGTTGAAAAATTATGGGTTCCATGAAATGTGTGATTAAAATTAATGAATGAATTTGACTTAGATTTTAATCAACTTTATAGTTGAATCTAACAGGGGCTGAAAGGTTTCTTGGAATAATAAGCTTACTGATTCTAGAATATTGGTTCTGGAAATTCTAAAGATCAATTTTTTATAGAGCAGAATACATATGGTGAATGAAACCCTATTGTGCACTTGAACAGAGTTGGGGGGCCTGGAGCATAGATTTCAATGATAGAATGGATACTTCTTCCACGCATTATGATGATTCTTATCTCTGCTGGGGGCAATTTTTATGAAGTTTAACCTGCTTATTTGTGTTTTATTATGTACTGCCTGATTTGAGCAGATGAAAAATGAAATCTGATCAATTATTTCGCGTATCCTGATTTGAACACTGACATATGGAATTGATTCCTTGTCACCGTGTGTCTTTTTGTGGTTTCAGTTCTTC